TTTGAGAATATTAGGGGTTTTTAAATATAAGAATAACATCCTTACTGGTGTAATAATATGATTCATTTATTCTCAGAAGTAAATCATATTGAATGCAATGCTTTTATTTCAATGAAGTCACAACAGTCTTGTTGCCTATTCAACATTGCACAATATTTGGCATGGATACGATTAGTGAAACAGTTCAGGCTGAATCCAAACACAATAGAAGTCATTCTGGTTGGCTGCAATCTGAAGAATCTGGTTTTTAAGCACCAATAATTCACCAGTAAAGTTTGGACTCTTCAGGTCTTACAGATGAGCAATTTAAGAATGACTGTTTGTTTTGGAATCTCAGACCAATTGTTGAGATTTTAATATAATCAAATTATTAAAAACATTCTGTTTTATCAATTGTGCTAAAGTCTGAATATGGGCCTTAAGTAGTTGGAATATTCAACTGATAAAGAATGCAGCTGCCTGATTCCTAATGGGGATTAGCATTGGCAATTTCTAAACTGCCTAATCATAAAAGACTCTGGAGAGTGCACAAAGAGCACAGAAATGAGCCAGTGCAATAATAAATACATAGAAATTATTAAGTGCCATCAAGTCATTGTCAACTCTTAGCGACCACTTAGATAGATTTTCTCCATGAGAATCTGTCCCTAACTTGGTCTTTCAATGGTTCCAATGGTGCACTCATCACTGTTGTAACTGAGTCCATCCACCTTGCTCCTGGTTGTCTTCTTCTCTTTCCTTCCACCTTTCCAAGCATTACAGCGAGTTTGGTCTTCGCATAATGTGTCCAAAGTAGGATAATTTGAGCCTGGCCTTTTTTGCCTCAAATAAGAACTGTGGGTTGATTTGTTCAATGATCCATTGGTTTGTTTTCTGGGCTGTCCACAGTATTCTCAGGAGTCTTCTCCGACTCCAAAGTTCAAAAGCATCAATACTTTTCTTATCCTGCTTCTTCAAAGTCCAGCTTTCACTTCCATAGAATATAACAAGAAATGCCATGATTTGCATAACTCTGGTTTGTCCTATAAACAAATTGACAACTGTATTTTGCACCAGTTAAAGTTTCTGGGTGGTCTTCAAGGACAGCCCCATGTCAAGGAATTTACACTAACATATACAGGAAGTGGCAAGGGCATGAATAACCATTCTTAGTGTCCCTTATTGTAGGTATGGTCACAAGTGGTATACCAGCTAAAGCTGGGTAAAGACCCTCCTGGCTATAGATTCCAACTGTTTTTCCTGCAAGAGCTGTGAATCCAGGAGGACCCACAAATTTCCAAATATGGTATCAACCCAGAATCAGAAGGCTTCCAAATGAATGCCCTTTTTTTTTTTTTAAGTTGGGTTGAATCTGAGCTAGTTTTTCTGGAGCAGGATTTCTACCACACCCTCCACTTCATCAGGGATTGAGATATACAACTGGACATTATCTGCAAATTCATGATATTTCACTCCAAACCTGTGAATGACCTTTCCTAGCAGCTTCATATAGATAAGCAGGATGTGAAAGAGGACTGAATCCTAGGGCATATCTGTGGCCAGACCTCTTCTCCCCTGCAACCAACTGGACTTGCCTTCTCAAGAAGAACCACTATACAACATTGCTTGCAACTTCCAACCATTGTAGGTGGGCCAGAAGGATAATATGGCCAAAAGTATCAAAAGCCACCAAGAGGTCTAGCAGAATGTGAATGTCATACTCCTTCACTCCAGGTACTGCCACACATTATCCATGAGAGAAACCAAGGCAGTTTCAGCTCCATATCCAGGCCTGAATCCTGATTGCTAAGCATTCAGATAATTCACTTTTTTCAGGATTCTTTGGAATTGTTTCTTGCCAATTTCTCTATAATTATCTCCACAAACAGGAAATTGGATATAGGGCAACAGTAGTGAATCCAGGGCAAGCCTCATAAGAAGGGAATAAGTCAACATTTCTTCCAGGGCTACTGGCATAACCCCCTCCCACAAAGAAGAATTGACTATAGCCTGGATCCACACACTGCATCCTCCCTGTTTGCTTTAACTAACTTGGAGGGGCAGGAATCAAGTGCCCAAGAAGCAGAGCTAAAAATGGAGAATGTTCTACTTTTTCAGATTCTATGGGCTTAAAAACCTCCCAGATGACATCACAAGATCCTGCCTTTGTCATCTCATTGGAGAAAATAAAAACAATAGTATTTGATATATAAAATGTCCGGAATTTTTGAATTCTGGGGAAAAGAAATTTATTTTTAGAAACAAATCACTATAGGTAATCTTTGACTTGTGACCATTCATTTAATGACCATTTGAAGTTATGGTGGTGATGGAAAAAGTGACTTATGACTGCTCCTCACGCTTATGATCGTCGCAGCATTCCCATGGTCACATGATCAAAATTTGGGTGCTTGGCAACCAATATGTATTTATGATAGTTGCAGCATCCCAGGGTCACGTGATTGCCATTTGCGACCTTCCATGGGGGCTTCTGACAAGCAAAGTCAATGGCAGAAGCCAGATTCACTTAACAACTATGTGATTCACTTAACAACTGTGGCAAAAAAGGTTGTAAAATTGGGCGGACTTACGTAATGACTGCATCACATAGCAATGGAAGTTCTGGTCCCAATTGTGGTCATAAGTTGAAGACTACCTGTACATCTACAGATCTAAAATCACTTTGTTATTGTTATCTAAAATCACTTTGTTATTTTAGAGATATAAAAATTATTATATAAAACTTAATTTACTCAAAATCATCATGGCACATTAAATTTAAAAGAATGGTTCATACACCAATTAGATATTTGGAAATTGAACTTAGTTCTAAATGTTTTCAGTTATAACTCAGAAAAGGAAGTACAGCCTGCTTAAGAAATCTATTTGTTTAGTTTTTTGGTTTAAGTAATATTCACAACAGAAGAAACAATTTTATTTTATTTTAAAAATTTAAATAATAATGAACAAGCTATTATACATTTGGAAGATAATATATCCCATTGTACTTGCTATGATATTCAAACTGAAAAGTAACACTTTCAGGCAAAACAAACCTTATCTTACAGTTTTTGAATTGTTATATTCATTAGCAGTTATTTTTGTAGCTTGTAATCCTTATCTTTATTATTGTTGACTCATTAAGACTGAACATTTTACCAAATGATGAAAATTGTTTCTACTCTTTCACATTTATTTTTCTTAATTTAGTGAGTTTCCAAAGACCTGAAGTAATCTTGTTTACAAAAGTATCTTGAATTACACAGTTTAAGAATCCCTAAAATTGTCTTTGGTTTTCAAATAAAATGTAATACTAAATTTAATGTAATTTTAATGGGGTATTACTCTGTTGTAACTCATCTTAACATTCAGTGTTTCATGACTTTATTAAAAATTTAAATGAGGTACTGTGCAATTCTGTTTTTTTCCTCAGAAATCAATTTCATTGTGTTCAGTAAGTTTACTTCACTGTGCGTGGAGGATTGTGACTTTAATGAACAAAAAAACAACAACCCTCACTATTCATTTGTTCTTACAAAGTAGCTTTTCAGCCCTTACAAAATATTTATAAAGTTAAAACTTCTTTTACTTTTCCGTACAGGGCAATTAAGCATCCACTTTCTTTAAAAGAGTTTAGAATATTTTGAACAAATATACAGTCAGGTCCAGAAATATTGGGACATCGACACAATTCTAACATGTTTGGCTCT